TTTATTCCTTGCCTCGTTGTCAGTGCGCAGCTGAATGGATTTCCGCTTGGAAAGTTTGATCAGACGTCAAACTTCATGATTTTTTCATGTTCTTGGCAATTGATTATTGTCAGTTTGCAACATGCACCACTATTTCTAGAGTTATCTTTCATCGAAGACGTTATGTATGTCAGCCGTATCGAAATCGGGACGAATTTATGACGTCAAGAATTTATACGGTCTGAAGCAGACGATTGCCACTCAAAAAGCAATGATATCGGCTACCAATAAGCGTTCATTCGTCATAAGCAGGTGACCTAAAGTGTTCAAGGAACTGTATTTTTGATAAAATGGAACTGGTCTCATAATTACATACATTTATAGTTGTGTGCTTTCGGTTCACTCCTGATTTTACAGTCATAGTCTGTTCAGTTGAGGTGAGATGATCACATTCTGCTCATTTATAATTCACATTGTCCCTATTTTTCACTTCACTCTCGGAATGTGAAATTTCATCCATGGAAATCTGCAAATTCTGATTCATCGCAGTTCTTCAGTCACATCGGATCTCCCTTTTGACGTGGTCCGAGTTGTTATTCCCTCGGTAAGCACTTTCACTGCATTAAGTTAAGGTCTATGTTCCCGTCTGGGGGTCGCTACGCCGCACACGCACTCGGCTACACCCCGTATTCGTTCAGCGCCATGGCACGATCAGTGACTGCAATCCAAGAGTTCAATATGTTCGGCATACCATTCGTTGGTGCCGATGTGTGCGGTTCTGTGACGCCAAATTGGTGGGATGAACTCAACAACAGATGGATTCAGCTCAGCGCATCATACCCATTGTCCTTGTTCGTTCTAAAAGTTTTTGGTTACGCATTTTCCTAATTGGGCGTGTTTGAATGTTTTCTTAACAGAATTCATTCGAACGGTGAACTGGTGTGACCGCAAAACTTCTGACCCCACCGGTTGTCACATATAATGAATCAAATCAAATCCTTCGCGGTCTATCAATTAATTACCGGTGCTAATCGATGCAATGCTGCCATCATATCATACCAAATGCTCTTTCTCGGAGAAGTCGGATCATCGAAGACTGAATCCAAAAATTTGTATATTCTAAATCAATAAAGCGTGTGGTCATTGTTCAGGATTCGAAAAGACCCCTACTCAATGATCACAATAGATGCAATGCCTTATACTGGAGTCAGTCTCTTCCGAAATCGCGTCCTACCGTATCTGTACACGTGAGTTGGTTATGTTTTCATGTAGTACATTTCATTTCAGTTTTAGGTGATTCACGAGCGCTTTCTGCTTGATAATTTGAAATCAAATGCGCCAAACTATTGATCTGAATATAGATCTCAATCACCAGAACATTGACTCCTGAGAATCTTCCTATCGAGTTCTTGATATAATAACTTTGTCCTCCCCTTGAACGGTTTACATGTTACAACTATTTCAAAACCGCCTATTGAGCATCAAAATCTGTAATCTGATCAATCTTCCATTACGGCGAAATCCATTTCGAGCTATGAGGTGCTCTTGCTCGTTGAAACACAACTAATTTTCCCATCAATTTGATGTTTTCATT